GTCTTTCAGCTAGTAGTTCAGCACTTAACCATTTGCCCCATCCAGGGACTTCACTGCACATGCTATACTGCATTGTGATTGGATCCTCATTTTCTGTCATTAGTTTTCTGGATAGATGAATGAATGAATGAAGGAAGGCAGGTGAGTTCCAGTCTTTTGATTAGAAGCCAAGCGTGTTGACAGTTTGCACCACCCAGGGACTCATGCTCCACTTACCATTTGTTATGTATCTGGGCACTTGTGATGAGTTGCCTGATGTCTTTCATTTCCTTCCAATTAGGGGATCTATGCAGGCAGGATGTGTTCACTATTGCAACACCATCTCCCGATATAGTGCTTGCCACAATAAAGTCAATAACTGTTTGCTAAACAGATGAATTAAGAGAAAAATCCAATTATCCATGAGGTAAATTGAATAATAAATGAACATTTAAAAATTACAAATGTATTACACTAACACAGTGGTGGGCTATTAAAGAAACATCTCTGAGATGAACATAAGAGGTTTCAAAGGTAGTTATCATTAAAATGTTAATAATAGCATATACAGTATTTGGAGTCCCTGGGTGGCACAAATGGTTAAGCTCCTGGCTACTAACTGAAAGGTTGGTGGTTTTAACCCACTGAGAGGTGTCTCAGAAGAAAGGCCTGGCACTCTGCTTCTGAAATGCCACAGCCATGAATACCCTATGGAGCACAGTTCCACTCTGAAACACATGGAGTCACCATCAGTTGGAAGCAACTCAATGACAACTGTGTGTTTTTTTAAATTTTTTTATTTTTTAATACAATACTTAATAAACGCCAAGGTACTTTGATACTTCCATTTGATACCCACAGCATCTTTGTTTAGGCTGGGATTATTCTCCACATATTCTAGATAAGGTAACCAAGAATCAGCATTTAAGTGATTTCCGTGACATTACAACATCACAAATTAAGTATTAGAGACTGAAATGCCACTTATACCCTCTGATGCTGTGTTTAAGTGTCCTTGACATAGCAGATGCTACCAATTTCAAATCTATTAAAAAGGTTAATATAGGTTGATATTTAAGTGACAATAATCATGTTTGTTCCCATAACCACCTGGAGTGGTATCACTGGCCTGAACGCAGTCTATTTAAAGCCATGATAGTATGTCACCTTTTCTCTGTGGTTCTATGCAGCGCTTGGTTCTGTGCATTCTTCCTTCTTATTGTATTAATTTTAGTTGTTTTAAACTTAAGAGTCCTTTAAATCATTCTGTGTTCTTTTTTGCTACTGTGTAAAAAATAGTATGACCTATATCCTGTTGATTTCTCAAGGGCTTGATCTCTCTTCTCCGTCTTTCTAAAACCAATGCAGTAATGCAGATCTCAAGTGGCTATTCATCATGGTGTTGCCTTATTATTTCACTATATAATAGTTTAACAGTGCGTGTGTCTGATTTATGTTTCTTGGAAGTCAAAGTTGTGCCTCGGTGTGTTTAGTAATTCACGGGTAGTCATTGTGAAATAAAGAAGCAGGACGATCAGTGTTTAGAGTCCCTAAGTGGTGCAAATGGTTAATGCGGTTGGCTGCTAACTAAGAGACTGGGTGTTCCAGTCCACCCGGTCACCTAGGAAGAAAGGCCTGGCAATCTACTTCCAAAAGATCAGCCATTGACAACCCTATGGAGCACAGTGCTACTCTCACACAGATAGGATCACTGTGAGTCAGAGTTGACTAGACAACAACTGGTTAATAGTTACGATCAGTGTTTAAGGCTGACTTCACGTATAGTGAAGAAGAGTTTGGTCCATAGCCCTTTTCTCCAGTTGAAGAAAGGTCTATATGTTCGTTTGTTTGGTCTTTCAGGGTAGAATTCTTTTCCTATTTATACTTCTGGGATGATTCTCAGAGAATTAATAGGAGAGTATTCTAAGTATCTGTTTTAAGAAGAACTCTTTCATGACCTTCAAATAAAGTCAATTTTCTATTATTCAAGTATTGTTTTCCAGTTCATGCATTTGCTATTCTAAGTTTTCTAGTCATCTGACCTCATCATTAATGGGATGACTCATAGCTAAACTCAGAGTCAGTTTATCCCTGAAACTTATCTTTCAGGGATATGTCTCTACCACCTCCAGAATTGTCTCCAAGTGCCACCTACAATATAAATAAGTAAAACATATTCTCTTCCCATCGTACAATTCAGTATGCAATGAGGTTAGTCATTTTTAAAGAACACGTTTCTGTAACCTACTTGTTCTTTCTGACAAATAACCCTTATAATATTGTCTGCCTCAGGATCACTCAGGAACCCAATTCCTGGGTGTCACCCTCAAATTCTAATTTGGTGGGCTTCAGGCTGAGCTTAGGATATTGCATGTTTACAGAGAACCTGAGAGATTCTTCTCAGTGGATTCTGATACTGCCGGGCCACATAGCTCAATTTAAGAAACTGTGCTCTTGGATATGTTTTTCTTAGCAGTGATACTAGGGGGTTGGGAAGAGCATTGATTTTCAAACAGCAACCCCTAAAATTTGAGAAGCCTTAAACTTCTGAAGGAAGGGTAGGATACGGGGATGAGGGGAGAACAGCAGGTAAAGTGGGAGATACTACAGTGAGGGATGTGTTTTGCATCGAAGAATGCAAAGGTAGAAAACTGGTTTCCTGCTCAAGGAGGAAAAGCATTTCTGCAATTTAGCTGACATCTGTCTCAGAGGCTGAAGTGGATGGTCGCCTTCTCCTGCACGTCTTAGAAATCGTTTGGGACCCAGACCCGGTACTGAAGTGAAGCGCTAAACACAGTGTGAATAATCACATCTTGGGAATGTGTGTCTTCCTCACTAAACTGTAAGCTTCTTGGAAAATGTGGTCTTTGTTTTGATGCATTGCTCATTCTTCTCCTGTGTTCCCAGAAAGCTCTCCCTAAATATGTGCTGCAGGGAAGAAGCAGAATGACCATTTCAGTAATGCCACTTTTGACACAATTCCCTGCAAGACATTTGAATATTTTCTATTGGACAGCTCTGAATGTCACGGGAGATTGCATTTATGAATCATGTGAATAAAGCATACTGTGCCTCTTTTAAGGAGCCCTGGTGGTGCAGTGGTTAAGCGCTCGGCTGCTAACTGAACCCAGCAGCAGCTCCTCCTGAAGACCTTTCAATCTGTTCCTGTAAAGATTACAGCCTAGGAAACCCTATGGGGCAGTTCCGCTCTGTCCAGAAGGGTCATTATCAGTCGCAGTCGACTCAACAGCACACAACGAGAACAACATGCCTCTTTTCCCAGATTCACAGGGAAAGTTGATATGGTTAGGGCCTACAGTCTTTGTGAGTCACTTCTTTCCTAGATTCCTGCTCTAAATAAGAAGATGAGGTGGAGGTATTCACTGAGGACAATCTAGGTCACCGACAATTGCTGTGGTGAGTCAGCTCATGCAGGAGGTGACAGCCAGAGAAAAAGTCACAGAACCCACAGATGGCTCGAGATCATTCTTGCTGCATGACCTAGCGATGACATTGATAACTGGGGGTTTCTTGTGAACCTCATAACTTTATTTTTTTTTACAAATAAAACGAATATATTCATTAAACTATTTTTGCTATACCTCTTTCTCTGCCAAATATTTCAACAAATAAATAATATTATCATTAGTAGTAACTAACATTGATTGAGTGCAAATTAGATGCCAGCAACTCTTTTTAAAAATAAACATGACTCAGTATTTTGTGTATGCTGTTTAAAAATTATATGTATATATATAGTTTTCTTTTTTTTTGGTCAATTTGATCCCATGGAGATATATCTTAAAAGAGCATAATGCACAAGGTAGACATTCTTTACTAGTTAAGCTAAACTATGGTTTTAAGAAGACTTCAGGGGATATTTTTAGTTTAAGATTTAAAGATTGTCTCAAGGCAGTTGTTTCAGGATTCATCCAACCTCCATGGCTCCAGAAATTCTGGATTCTATGAGAATTTGAAATTCTGTTCTATGTTTTACCCCTTTTGAAAAGGATTTTTCTATAGAATTTTTTTATCAAAATGCTCAGTAATGGTAGCTGGGCACCATCCAGTTCTTCTGATCTCATGGCAAAGGAGGCAGTTGTTCATGGAGGCAGTTAGCCACACATCCATTTCCTTCTCTTGTTCCTGATCTCCTTCTTACTCTGTTGCCCCAGGCGAACAGAGACCAATTGTTATGCCTTGGATGACTGCTTGCAAGCTTTTAAGACCCCAGGCATTATGCAGTGAACTAGGAGGTAAAACAAAAACACCAAACACATTATTAGGCCAATTTCATAACTGGCATGTCCCATGAAACCATGACCCTAAACTTCCAAACCAAGAAACCAAATCCCATGAGGTGTTTGATTGTACATAAGCAGCCTCAGAAGCAACTTGAATGATTAAATAGTAACTTTAGTGGGTAGTGAGTTTATGTTAATGAGGAAGGAACAACTCAGAAAAGGAGAGTGAGAATGGTTGCATAACTCAAGAATGTAGTCAGTGTCACAGAATTGTACATGCAGAAACTGTTGAATTGGTGTATGTTTTGCTGTGTATATTCTCAACAACAACAACAAATAAAATGCATTATTTAAAAAAATTATATGTTTTGTATACATCAGATGTGCTCGTGTAAATAACTTTTTATAAAACTGACTTATGTTAGAGCTATTATAGGTGAGTTTTCTATCTATAGTAATACAGTTAGGCTATCATCCTAAATTTTTTTATTTTAGGAGAATGCATATCTATATATTATGTATATAGAACTTATTTTCTGGTAGTGACAGTGTAACTCACTTTCTGAATTCTATTTAGCTCATTTATGAAAGGTATTTTTCACATGCACGTGAAATCTGTGAAGTATTTTCTGGTTATAGCCAGTTTGTTAATTACCCTACTTCCCTACTTGTTTTCAGGCCACTTTGAGCAAGGTGAGCCCACCTCCTTCCTTCATCTCAGTACTAAATTATTTATTGTCACTGTAGTTTTCTCAGCAATCCACAGAGCTTTCCTTCATGACCGGAAAGAGAGAAGGTACTGGGGGAATATCTAGGCATCTCTAAACCGAACGTCCCAAGAGTAGTTGTAGTATGGGGGCGCGCTACAGGAGGTGAAGGCTGTGCAGACTGGAGCGATGACTGATCGGGTGCGCCTTCGCCTCAGGTTTCTAGACTTCTGAAATGTTGAGAACTGAGAGAGACCTTTCCCGACCACTGTGATGCAGGTGACCCCAGTCGTGCTGTCAATCTCTATCAGAATGCCTTCTTTGCTGACACGGTCTGTTGGTTCACTTGATTAATAATGTCCGTCTTCACTGAATGAAAGCTCCATGACAGCAGGAAGCATGTTTGTGTTGCTCACTCATTTATCTCAGGATCCAACACAGCACCTCACCCATGGTGGAGTAGTAAATATTTATTAAGTGATTGTATCCATTTGCATAGTGGTTCACTTGTGAAGTATATAGACAGTAGGTAAGGGTGCGAGAAAATGGCAGGTCACCTCAGTTTAAGAGATGAAACAGTATATCATTGCTTCAAGCATCAATTATCTGATAAGTTTTTCACTACCCCATTTTGCTAATAGAAATATTCCAGGCACGAAAGCTTTAGGCGCCGTGAAAGATGAGTATCACC